ATATATATATATATATATATATATATATATATATATATATTTATATTTATTTTTATTTTTATTTTTTATTTTTTGGTTAAGCTCACACGTGCAACAGAACAATACAGTATATCGCTCAGGCGTAGAGTACAGGGAAGGACCTTCAAATTAATATTTAATAAATTAATGTCATAATATAATTGAGCTTGGCTAATGAAAAGGGGGAAGACTCGATAAGTTGCATAAACAGTAATGATGGACGTTCTTTGATGTCTCTAACTCTTCTTTAAAAATATGATTTAGGCTGAAACCTTTGACTCATCTGACTTATGCATAGATCGACCAGACAGCAAAAGGTGAGAAGCAGCTGCTTGATTCTTACTAAAGCTGAGCAGCACAACTAGACAAACACACACAATTTTAACAGAGTAAAGGCAACACAACTTCATATTTTTCATCTTATCTTTATCTTTTTAGCTTAAGCTTTAATTTATTTTTTGTTAATAAATAATACTGCGTATATAATCTTTGTAAAAGGTTTTAAACTTGGTCAAAAAATCAAGTAGAAAAGAGGTGAAACATCCAACTTTATACACTGAATTATATAAGGCAATCTTTTTGTTATAAGACTTACCGGTACTCTGTTTTAGTCAGAAATAATATCTCAGAGCAACTTCATCTTAAAAAAGGTTTGTCTTATTTACTTATTCTAAAGTGTTACATTGATGTGATGGTTCACCATGTAAAAATTGAATAAAAGATAAAAAGCAGAAAATCAATTTAAAGTAAAATATCAGGTATGCTGAATCTATTCATGGGTCTTTGTGCAGTTACATACAAACAACAACGTTTTATCTTTCATAACATAAATGGGCAGTCAGACAGCTTGTCAACAGAAACCACATGATTAGAATGATCCCAGCACTTCTATCCGTTGACAGCTTATTAGCAAAAATAAAATACAAAACAAAACATTTTTAAAGACCTAAAACCATTATACAAAAGTATTAAACCATTACCACATTTTTTTGGAGGAACAAACTCCAAATTAAAATTTTTTCAAAATGCTTTTGTCCTAAGGGATTTTTTTTTGCAAAAGCTAATCACTTATCACTTTTATCTACAGATCTTCATATTTGTTTTAGACCAATAGGGAAATATTTATAGGGGGTAATAAGTTAGCCAACCAGAGAACCTTAAGGTTGCATGATTTAACATTAAACTCAAACTACATTAATGTCCTTCCAGCAAATCAGTTTCAGAATATCTTTATCTTTAATCTGAAGGATTAATTCCCAACTTTTTTCACGGAGCTTTCTCTGTCATCTAAAGTAGCACAAATTTCTGCATGTTTCTCATTGTCAGGTTGTTTCGAGGTTTTCGGAGGACCCAAAATAAGAGACGGAGGTGGTGTCCTGTAGATTTAATAACCAATGGTGGCAATTGAAGCATTAATCCAAAAATACCTGAATAAGAAACACAGGAACTAGAACAAAGGGGAAACACATGGGTTAAAGAGAGAATGAAGATAATCCAGCGAACAGTAACTGAAGGGGAGGGGTATATATGCCAAACAGAAGAAAGGCTCAGGTAATCAACTGATTGGGAGCAAGTGTGGACAGAAGGAACTAGAAGGGAGCTAGAGGAACAGAGACACAAGAGGGCAACAGAGGGTAATCAAGAAATACATAAGAACTCAAATACAACCAGAAAACATCTAGAATGACACAAAATGGAAATAAAACCAATGAAAACTCAACAAGAAAACTTAAACAGAACCAAAAGATGCAGAATCATGACATGCGGTTTGTTAGTTTAAACCATGACTAGAGTTTAAACTCAATTTAAAATATGAAACAAAATAATCCAGACAGCTGGTAAGTTAAGTAAACCATAAAAAATCCTGAAAATAAAACACCAAATATAACTCAGTAATTATGAGCCTAATAAATATAAAAAATAAAATTAGTATTCAACAAAAATCGCTAATAGCAAAACATAGAAATGACAATTTAGATCAAACATTTTTTGTAGTCTGTAAAGTTTCTTGAACTCTCAAAAGCTTTATATTGGCACAAACAGCAGTAAGTACTGTATGTATTAGTAGGTTAGTTACATTTCATTAACAGCTCAAACCTGTATACCTTAAATGTTAATACAACTAGTTTAAAGAATATCAAGTTAAGTCCAAACCGAGCTGGCTGCAGCTTTCACTAACTGCACTAACAGTTCACACTAAGACAAAGGCAAATGGTTTCACCCACATGCTGAAAGTATTAGAAGAGGATAAGATAGAATCCAAATCTCCCTTATTCTCCCTCACTGCATAAATATGTAGTATCATTTGTAAAGTAATGGGCTATAGAAGCATAGATACATATAAAAAAATTGTTAAAAAAAAGTACTTACGAA